GCGAAGTGGTTCACATCTCCTCGCCACCGTGTCGCCTGAGTCGGGAGTCGAACCCAGGTGCTTGTGGCGCCGAGGACACGGGCGACCCGCTCCACCATCACTGCAGGCGGTGAGGGTGGAGGGAGGAGAGAGAGAGGGACAGGGGGACAGGGGCCGATCTCCAACCGGCATCACTCTGCTGATGGAGATGGGGAAACCCGCCACACGCTACGTGTCCCCCCCCACATCCACCCCGCCCCCACATCCACCCCCCACCCACCCCCACTTCGAGGGTCCCTCCAACTGCCCCCCCCCCACCACCAACTTTAATTGGTACCACGCGCTTAATTAGCATCCCATCGGGGCGACAATCTGAGGGGCGGGGCGCCCACCCCCCCACCCCGCCCGCTCCCAACCATCTGCCTGACTGGGCTCAGCTCCGCAATGGCCCTCCTCTGAAGGGTCATTTCCCGAAACGTCGCCACACTATTTAAGACAAAGACAAAATAAATCTCCGTATAGTTTCAAAAGACTTTTGGGGCAAGTGCTGTTATCCAGCAGCACCACATGAAGCTCCACACTCTATTCACACACACACAGCTGGTGTGTATCACTACACGTGTGTATCACGTGTGTAGTGATGCACACGTGTGTACTACGTGACTTGGACCTGTGGTGGATGCTCAGATAGCCTGGCTCAGTGGGTTCGGGATGCTGTGCATCATGGGGCACACGTGAAGGGCGCGCCTCGTGTTCTCTCTCTCTCCCTGCTGCGGTTGTAAAACACCGCGACTCGCACGGAGAGAGAGAGAGAGGGTGGCTTTGAGAGAGAGAGAGGCGTGGAGAGAGAGAGAGGCGTGGAGAGAGAGAGAGAGGGGCGAAGCTAAATCTCCCCCGGCACAGTATTTCACGAGGGGTGAAATCTTACGACAGTTCAAGTAAGAGGAGAAGGTGGCGAAGAGACGCCGGGTGGGTGATGGGCTCTGGGTGCAGGGGGTTTAGGGGTGGAATTGAGCGAGGGGGGTGGAGGGAGAATTTATCGACTTAGCTAAAAGTACACCGCGTTCCAGATTGCACTCAGACGAGGGCACACAAAGACAAATGTCCCCCGTGCAGCCTGCGCAGGCTATCGGTGGCAAGTGCTGTGAACGAGCACCTAGTGAGGGAGGTCAGCATGGCGGGGTTGGTGTGGCCAGGAATTCGCCCGGCCGCCTTTGTATCGTCCAGCGTGTGCCGTGCTGGCTTCTTCTCGGCCGAGTCTACCTAGGGAAGACCCAGGACCGGTTCACATAAATCGTCACTGGTTTTGGTCACGAGCGAGAATCGAACTCAGTTCACTGGGTTCAAAGCGCAATGCGGCCGGGCGTGGTGTTGGCGAAAACAGCACTTGCCCAACAGCATGTGCAGGCTACACGGGGGACCTTTACCTTTGCTTGTAACGTCTACGTGTCGTGCGTAATGCGATACGAACCTGACCGACCCGAGTTCGATTCCGGTTCACGGCCAACATCAGTGGCGGGGATGACATCCGGAACCGGTCCTGAGCCTCCGCCGTATCGATCGATTACGCCGTTAAGTGAGTGTCCGGTGCGGGCGTGTAATCGATTGTGTTGTAATCGATTGTGTTGTAATCGATTGTGTTGGGGAGACAAAAGTGGCAGGGGGCGTGGTCATGGCAACACCACCCCTCGTGCGCAGTGCTGTTAGAATCTATTAAACGAAAATGTTTTTATGTTGATTTGAAGCTTTCGTGACTGCAGGAATCCATACTCTTTGGTTCTTTCGGTAAAGTCACGTGGGTATAAAATAAAAATATACCTACGTGACTTTACCGAAAGAACCAAAGAGTATTTTTATGTTACCAGCTATCGAGCTCTTTATCAGAAGAGACCTGGCCGCCACAAATGATAGCCCAACAAAGTGGCTTGTCACGTGGACATTGTTAGCAGCCAACGACTCTAAACGCGTGCTGATTCTAAATGTGGAGAGAAAAACCGGAGCACCGGGAGAAAAATCCACGCGACTACGGGGAGAGAGGTCACCACAAACTCCAAATATACAGCAGCAGCAGGCGTCAAGGTCGGGATCGAACCCACGACCTCCTGCGTACCAGGCGAAGCAGTTAACATCTCCTAGCCACCTCCGTTTGATAGGGGCCTCGGATCTTCCTTGAAGCCCTCGAGCAACCTCCTCCATCATCCCGGCAGCAGCGTGCAGCCTCCACCAATCACAGGATGGATGGGTGGAGGTCCCCCAGCCCCCACCCCCCTTCACCACGTGCTTCCCCCACGAACCCTGCACTAGACCCAGAGCTCCGCCGAGCGGCCGGCTACAAACATGGCCCACGTTGCATTCAGGTGACGCGTGGAGCGAACGAAACTGCGATTCCGAGTAAGCGGCGTGCATCATCACAGCACGCGTGTGTACTCCGTGACACGCGGCCAGCTACAGACGGGGCCCACGTAGCATTCAGGTTGTACGCGGAGCGAACGAAACTGGGAATCCGAGTGAGGCGCTGGGTTACGATTCCAGCTCGTTCGGAATTGCAGCTGCTGCAGTGGTTACGCGTACACCGATTCCCGAGTACCATCAACACCACCATCATCATCACACACCGGCTCTCTTGTCTCTGCACTGGCTACTCAGTCAGGTATCGAGTGGACTCTATGATCATCCTGCTGCTACTGCTGCTGATCTACAAGGGCTCTCAGTGGGGTCGCTCCCCAATATCTGCAGGAGCTGATCCACGTTTACTCTCCTGCGAGGGCCCTGGGATCTTCGGATCGCCGTGTGCTAAGGACTCCAAGGTCAAGGCTCTGTCCCTGCAGGGCTGATGGGGACGTTGCTAGTGCAACTCCCAGGCTATGGGGCAAAGCGCTATGGCTTTGTTAATAAGACAATCGGAGTCGTTGGAGTTGTTTAAGCGCGATCTTGAAAACTCACCTCTGTAAACTGACCTTTAACCTCCGCCTAGTCTTGGCTGTTGAACCTGGTTTGGAAAGGGTGGGTGAGAGGGTTGGTGAGAGGGTGGGAGAGAGGGTGGGTGAGAGGGTGTGTGGGTGAGTGAGTGGGTGAGAGGGTGGGTGAGAGGGTGTGTGGGTGAGACGGTGTGTGGGTGTGTGAGTGGGTGTGTGAGTGAGTGGGTGGATGTGTGGATAAATTGTCCTTCACCCTTCGGTTATAGCCGTTAACCTTTTTGGTTTCATAATTTCCACACACGGGGGCGCATTGGTGGCATCTCCCGTTTAAATGCGTCATATAAATGTAAATTATTACGATGTTTAAAAGGCGAATCCAATATGAGTGACAATTATGCAAATAATAATAACAAAATACCGCAGACGAGTCAATGTCTCATTCGCATATCCATCTGGCTACAAATGAAAAAAGAAACCCCCTCTCCTTTCAAACGACCCATCGGCCGCGCGGCCTTCTGGGAGTGAATAACTTCAGCAGCATTGATTCGGTGCAAGCAGGCAAACTCCCTGGGACCGGTTTCGACATTCGGTGTCTCACTAGGCAGCGTCATTGCTGATTGTCAATTGTCAGACGTTAAAGATACAGGTCCTAAATAATAAACATGTGTTATAGAAATTAAACCGCGAATATGAATTTAAAATAAATTTCCCTGTCTCGCCAAATAAGAGAGCAGCGCCACCTCGCGACTTATTTATCTTTAAACTACTCAACAATGTTTTATTTAAACTACTCAACAATGTTTTATTTAAACTACTCAACAATGTTGTTTTATTTCACCAGCTAAGGTCCACAGAGCGATGTAGCGCTTTTTCAGAAGCGACCTGGCCACAAATGATAGCTCAACCAAGTGGCTTATCACGTGGACATTTATAGCAGCCAAATACACGAAACCGCATGTTTAGAAAAATCCACGCGACCATCACGAGAGAGAGACACGCAAACTCCAAATATACAGCAGGCGTCAGGGTCGCGATTGAACCCACGACCTCCTGTATACCAGGCGAGGTAGTTGACATCTCCGAGCCACCGTGGCGCCCCGCAAGTCGGCCCATCGGCCTGGAGTTACCTCCACGGGACTTTCCACGTGACGGCGGGCAGCCGGGCAGACCGGTGTCTGGACACGTGGGGCGGCCCGACATGGTAGCGACGAGTTTGTGGATCACCCAGTGTTGTGACCCCCCCTCCCCCATCCTCTCACATCTTCTCGTAGGCGTCGAGGAAGATCCGTCAGGAGAATGCAGCACAGCAAAGTGTGGACTCGTTTCCTTTATGCTTCTTCCCTATGGGATAGCGTGTTTCTCCCTCGCACGCGTGGGATTTCTGAGGTTGCCCGCGGTTTCCTCCCGCACGTATTCATCATCACTCAGTAATTGACTGTTCAGCTGTGTGCGACTCAGTTCGCATGAATGTTGCCGCGATGTGAACACAGATTATTGTTAGTACTCTAAAGGGACGGGCTACGTCCATGTATCACTGTATGCCAAGCGAGCGAGTGACTTTGGAGTCGGGGAATTCCCCCCAGTGTGAAGCCATCGCTGTACAGATCCACGACTCCACCACGAGGTGGAGCTAGGAATACACGAAACAAGCAAACAGGACAACCTACCAACTCACCTATCTCCCTACACACCCACCTAAATACATTCCCACCAACCTCCCTATATTCCTACTCGCCCACCTCGCTATCTTCTTACCCACCCAGCTCCCCGTGTTCCTACCCACCCACCTATCACCCTCCCCACCCACCTATCACCCTCCCCACCCACCTATCACCCTCCCCACCCACCTATCACCCTCCCCACCCACCTATCACCCTCCCCACCCACCTATCACCCTCCCCACCCACCTATCACCCTCCCCACCCACCTATCACCCTCCCCACCCACCTATCACCCTCCCCACCCACCTATCACCCTCCCCACCCACCTATCACCCTACCCACCCACCTATCACCCTACCCACCCACCTCGCTATGTATATGAGATCATCAAATACCAGAAGTGAGAGAGAGCCGTGACTCAGCGATGCTTGACACGAGCGTTTATTGGGAGATGCTGACTGCACGGAGTCGGAGCCACGGACTGGCACGCATGAGCACGCGTGAGCACGCGTGAGCACGCGTGAGCGAGTGAGCGAGCGATGAAAGCTCTCACAGTGAAGAGCGAATCGACAGTGACAAGGAGGGCCGGCAGAGGTTGGGGTTAGGGATAGCGGTGGGGCTTGGCTCTAATTGGCTGGCCAGCGTGGTCAGGGTTAGTGCGCGATTGACCGGTGCGGCTAGGGTTAGGGTCTGGTTGGCTAGTGTGGTTAGGGTTAGGGTCTGGTTGGGTCCGTGCGAGTCTACGGATCTCACTGCACTTGAAAACCCGGCTTAACAGCGGTGGGTGGTTGGGGTGGCTGAAAACCCGGCTCTGGAGTCCAAGATCCCAGCGGCCGTGCCACTCCGCGTGTTCGCTGCTGCTGATTCTCCCTGCGGCGCTGTGGCGTCACTCGCGCCAGGCACGGAATTCGTGGCCCGCTTCGCTGCTGCCACCGATCCAGAGGGAGTCCATGGGCACGGGACCGCGTCATCCAAGCCGTCGGGGGTTAACACCCCTTAACGGTGCAACGACAACAACAACAGCAGCAGTAGCATCAGCGACAAACCAAACCAACAAGCTGTTTAAAAAAATAAATCACATCGATAACACTGCGTCTTTGATAAGAATAACTTCAAACGGCTATCAGGCACTGGCGTTTCGATTTAAAGGGGTCGTCCGTACATTTTGACGCCACTCACACGAAATACTCTCCGTTCACCATCCGCCACGCGTGACATAAAATATATTCGCTTCCAACATCTGTCGTCAGGCCAGTTACAATTTGGATTTGTTCACCATCGCCGGTTGTTTGTGCTCATGGGCATCACTTCCCGGCGCAAGAAGCGACTAAGAGTGCCGAGTCGTCTGAAGGCCATCGCTGGTGGCCATGCTGAGACCATCGACTTACAAGCCACGCTACGCAAGCCCGATTGCAGCCTGTGGGAGCCTGTGGGTCTGTGTGTGAGTCTACGGGGTCTCTGTATGTGCCTATGGGTCTGTGTGTGTGTCTACGGGGTCTCTGTATGTGCCTATGGGTTTGTGTGTGAGTCTACGGGGTCTCTGTATGTGTCTGTGGGTCTGTGTGTGAGTCTACGGGGTCTCTGTATGTATCTGTGGGTCTGTGTGTGAGTCTACAGGGTCTCTGTATGTCCCTGTGGGTCTGTGTGTGAGTCTATGGGGTCTCTGTATGTATCTGTGGGTCTGTGTGAGTCTACAGAGTCTCTGTATGTCCCTGTGGGTCTGTGTGTGAGTCTACGGGGTCTTTGTAGGTGCCTGTGGGTCTGTGTGTGAGTCTATGGGGTCTATGTATGTCCCTGTGGGTCTGTGTGTGAGTCTACATGGTCTCTGTATGTGCCTGTGGGTCTGTGTGTGAGTCTACGGGGTCTCTGTATGTATATGTGGGTCTGTGTGTGAGTCTACAGGGTCTCTGTATGTCCCTGTGGGTCTGTGTGTGAGTCTACAGGGTCTCTGTAGGTGCCTGTGGGTCTGTGTGTTAGTCTATGGGGTCTCTGTATGTCCCTGTGGGTCTGTGTGTGAGTCTACGGGGGTCTCTGTATGTATCTGTGGGTCTGTGTGTGAGTCTATGGGGTCCCTGTATGTGTCTATGGGTCTCTATGTGAGTCTATGGGTCTATATGCGAGTCTATGGGTCTCTAAGTGAGTCTATGGGTCTCTAAGTAAGTATATGAGACCCCCGTGTGTAATTGCTGCTGTTGGGCAGCTAAGAGGCCGCTTGGCGTCTCTGATCTCCGAGCCACCGGTTCCTCGTCGCTCCCGAACGCATTCTTCTAAAAAAGGTGTAAACAATCGCAAATACTGCTCCCGTTTCAACACGGTGCAATCGTCCTATTGGCATGTGCGGAGGGTTAATACTTGATATTTTAAATCGTTTGTCCGAAGATTTTTTTGTTTTCTTGTTTTACTGTTCCTGTAAAAGTCGCTTATTGGAGTAAGGAAGCGATTGTTACCCGAGTTGCTGTGAACCGTGCGACTCTTTCAGTGCTATCCCCTCGTATATAGCGGGCGAGGGGGGCACACATCCCCATGTGCCACACTGGGATGATTGCCCCACGTGCCACACTGGGATGATTGCCCCACGTGCCACACTGGGATGACTGCCCCATGTGCCACACTGGGATGATTGTCCCATGTGCCACATTGGGATGATTGTCCCATGTGGGGCATTGGGATGATTGTCCCACGTGCCACATTGGGATGATTGCCCCATGTGCCACACTGGGATGATTGCCCCATGTGCCACACTGGGATGATTGTCCCATGTGCCACACTGGGATGATTGTCCCATGTGCCACACTGGGATGATTGCCCCATGTGCCACACTGGGATGATTGCCCCATGTGCCACATTGGGATGATTGCTCCATGTGCCACACTGGGATGATTGTCCCATGTGCCACATTGGGATGATTGCCCCATGTGCCACACTGGGATGATTGTCCCATGTGCCACATTGGGATGATTGCTCCATGTGCCACACTGGGATGATTGCCCCATGTGCCACACTGGGATGATTGCCCCACGTGCCACACTGGGATGATTGTCCCATGTGGGACATTGGGATGATTGCCCCATGTGCCACTTTGGACAAACATCCCAATGTGGCAGCTCCCCTCTCCTCATGATATTTTTTGTATCATCATCATCACCACCACCACCACGATACATGGGGCAGATAGCCCGTGGTAGGTGTCCACTGCGTATTTCGTCATTTGTTCCCACTTTCCTCTCTGTCTTGTTGTGGCAATATTCTCAAGTAGTGCCACATCTTTCTGGCACTAATCTCTTATTTTTGTATCACAATAATAATACTGTCAACTTGTAACAGGGCCGCTGGCACCGCCGCATGCTGTATCCACTCCCATCTCTCTCTCTCTCTAACACCTGCCTGGCTTGCAGGTAGCTCTAATACCTGCCTTGCAGGTATGTGTGAGGCAGCAGGAGGCAGGCGATGAACCGGCACAACCAATAATTGCCCGAGCTCTGCATCCTCGATGTATTAAGATGTTCTCTTATATAAATATTCAGTGTTGTCAGACAGTTAATGAGTTTGCTATCGGCCGTCATGAATAAATACGTTATGCCACCTTGAGTGGCACCAATCTTTGCCCCCCCTCCCCATAACTCCAAGTAATTCGAATAATTAATTACGATTCTGGGTCACGGTTCGATTGGCTGACCGACTATAATCTCGTCCCGTGTCTATGCCTTCTGCCTCATTTGTTCAGTTGTGTTCGGTGCTATAGTTTATCCGAAATGTAACACTATGACCATGTAGTTTAGCATAAACGTTACTCAATGAATCATATTTGTTTATCACCTCTTTTACCCGCTTGTGTGCGTGTTTTCTAATTGATATTTTCACCGACGTAATTTATAGTTACGTCAATTTTTTTGCCTTGGCATTTATCTCGCAGTGAGTTTGTGCGGAAGAAGGAGCCTCTCCTAATCGCGACACGAAAGCCGGACCCGACGTGCACAACAGCAACCATTTGATGAATGTGACTTGTAACTTTGATCCTAGCCCGTGTGTCAACGTGCCATCTAATAGAGGGGGCTGTGCGTTGTTGTCTTGGTGTGGTCTAGGGTTGTTGCTGTTGTTGTTTTGCTGCTACCACGTTAGCATTTAGTGTTGAACAATGTGCAGGAATGTATGCACGTATGCAATCTGAACTTATATGCCTTATTAATATTTAGTTATTTATCATGACCTTTCTCTATGTTTTATTCAGATAATTTTGATCGGTTGTTGGTGTAACTCGCTGAACCCCGTTGCCCCCTACTGGAACATCTGTATTAAAGAGCTTCATAGCTCATCGGATTCCTCCTCCAGGGTCCTAAATAAAAACATTCTGATGCTGACTTCTGATTGTGTTCTTCACCCCCTTTCCCTCGCCCCACACCTTCGATTAGCACAGTTGGCTACGTACGGTCCGAAAGAAGTTCCACATACATACGGGGATTTGTCAATAGTTCGATTCACGTTCACACGATGCGATAATGCCCACGATGATGATGACGGCGTTGCGCAGCAATTCGGAGTCTCAAGCGCGCGGAGAATCTTTCTCTGGCCCATGGACTCGGTGCCTCGTGAGGGCAGTCAACAGCCGCGCGTGTCGCGAGGGTGTCTGAGCGAGAGCGGAAACTGACGACCACGTCGACTTACTTGACGGTTCACAAGTCACACGATCAGCTGGAAAACACGCACGCGTGCGCGCGTGATACAGCTCGAGGCAACTTTACGGGGCAACCTGTTGCATGGAACACCGTCAATCAATTGGTGACCGCCTGAAAAAATATATATTTTTTACATTCTTATTTTTGTTTGAGTTTCCACGACGTTGTTTTTCAATCGGAGTAAAGTTGGGAGATTTTTTTTTTACCAAATCCGGACACAATCGGACGAGCCTGGATCGCCACATCCCCCGACCGCTGCTGCTGCTGCTGCCCTCTGAATAGGCAAAACTGGGGTGGTAATGTCCAATCAGGTTGAGGATGGAGGTCACATGACCACCCGAGGTCGCGTGCTCTCTCGACCAATTACCGTTCGCCAAGCACAGTTTCTATTGTTTTGCTTTGTTTGGTCACAGACACCGTGCCATCGGTCTACAGCTCTGTCATATGACTCTTGTCTGTTTCATCCCACTCATCTGTATATATTTTCCAGCTGACATACTTATATTTCTTGTTTATCTAATTAATCAAATTACTAATATAATAAGCCAAGAATGTGTGTGTGTGTCCCGCGCGTGACGTCACTCCACATGGGGCATCCCCCCCCCCTCATCAATCATCATGAGCTGATGACGTCACTCGTGTGGACCCCGCCCCCTCATTAGTAATAATCATGAGCGGGTCATTATTTTCGATTGAATATTTCAGATTCACTGCAATATTCACCCGTCCTTGGACGGGCTCTAGGCGAGTTAATCATATTGATCTGTTGTCAACAGCTCTCTTGTCTCCTCCGCCTCTTGTTCATTTCTCATGTCACGAATGATGATTTATCGTCTCCAGCTCTGTCATCGATTAATCTTGGCCCATCTCTCTCGCTATCGTCTCACTCATCATCTGGTGCATCTCTATCGATCACGCTTTCACCCCCCCCCCCTACTCGCTATATCTCCTCTCCCTGCGAGCCGCATGGGGCTCCGTCACGGGTCAGAGTGGGGTCCAAATTACTGGACATCTGTGAAAAAAAGCTTTATAGCTCATCGGATTCCTCGAGTGTAATTAAATATTCAGATTCTGAGTTGTCCGCTTCTCTGCCACTCCCCCCCTGGACAGTAGCAGCAGTGGACGATGCGCAGCAGGCGGCAATTGCAGGCAACAGTTGCTCGAGAGGTGCCCCGATCAATCACGGGCGATGCAGCGACGTCGACTTCTAAGCGAGCAACAAATACTGACGACGGCGGGAATGACACAAAACGCAAACACGACGCGCGTGTGTCCTTGTGTGTGCGTGTGTCTTTGTGTTTGTGTGTGTCCTTGTGTGTGCGTGTGTCCTTGTGTGTGCGTGTGTCTTTGTGTTTGTGTGTGTCTTTGTGTTTGTGTGTGTCCTTGTGTGTGCGTGTGTCTTTGTGTTTGTGTGTGTCCTTGTGTGTGCGTGTGTCCTTGTGTGTGCGTGTGTCTTTGTGTTTGTGTGTGTCTTTGTGTGTGTGTGTGTCCTTGTGTGTGTGTGTGTGTCTTTGTGTGTGTGTGTGTCCTTGTGTGTGTGTGTGTCTTTGTGTGTGTGTGTGTCCTTGTGTGTGTGTGTGTGTCCTTGTGTGTGCGTGTGTCTTTGTGTTTGTGTGTGTCCTTGTGTGTGCGTGTGTCTTTGTGTGTGTGTGTGTCCTTGTGTGTGCGTGTGTCTTTGTGTTTGTGTGTGTGTCCTTGTGTGTGCGTGTGTCTTTGTGTTTGTGTGTGTGTCCTTGTGTGTGCGTGTGTCTTTGTGTTTGTGTGTGTCCTTGTGTGTGCGTGTGTCTTTGTGTTTGTGTGTGTGTGTCCTTGTGTGTGCGTGTGTCTTTGTGTTTGTGTGTGTGTCCTTGTGTGTGCGTGTGTCTTTGTGTTTGTGTGTGTCCTTGTGTGTGCATGTGTCTTTGTCTTTGTGTGTGCGTGTGTGTCTTTGTGTGTGTCTTTGTCTTTGTGTGTGCGTGTGCGTGTGTGTCTTTGTGTGTGCGTGTGTCTTTGTCTTTGTGTGTGCGTGTGTGTGAGAGATAAGGCGAAATGCCTAAGTGGTAGCTGGGAAGGTTTCTGGGTTGGGAGTAAGATAGGTAAGTTGGTGGGTAGGAAGATAGCTAGCTGGCTGGGTAGATTGGTATGTGGGTGGTTAACTCGGCAGGTTGGCAGGAGTGCAGGTAGACAGCTTTGAGCGTCAGTAGAAGTTAGGCAAAGTTTTGGTTGAGGAGGTTCGTAGGGAAGGCAGGCAGGCATTAGCTAGGCAGCTTGGTCGCTTAGTTGGTGTTCGGGTGCTGGTAGGTAGGAATACGAGTAGGTGAGTAGGCAGGATAGTAAGTTAGGGTAGGTTGGTGGGTAACAAGAAAGAGACACAAGGAGGGACTGGGAGGGTAGGGGGGTTCGTATTTGCTCGGAAAATTGGTGGACATGCAGAGAGAGAGATATGGGTAGGTCGGGAGGATATTGAGCGAGCAGATAGGTAGGGAGTCGGTAGGTGGGTAGGGAGTCGATAGCTGGGTAGGGAGTCGGTAGGTGGGTAGGTACTAGGGGTGTAGGTACTGGGTAGGTACTAGGGCTGTAGGTACTGGGTAGGTATTAGGGGTGTCGGTACTGGGGAGGCAGGCCGGCATGGAGTGTGTGCAGCAGGTGCTCGGTAGTCGAGTGGTGAAGCAACCCGCTGGGCAGTCCCTGTGTTGCGCTGAGCTGGCAGGAGCGAGCGGGCGGGCGGGGGTTGGGGGGTGGCAGAGTGGGGGGGAGTGGCAGAGTGGGGGGGCAGAGTGGGGGGGGGGGTGGCAGAGTGGGGGGGGGGGGAGTGGCAGAGTGGGGGGGCAGAGTGGGGGGGGGGGGGGTCGCAGAGTGGGGGGGGGGGAATGGCAGAGTGGGGGGGCAGAGTGGGGGGGGAGTAGCAGAGTGGGGGGGCAGAGTGGGGGGGGGGGTGGCAGAGTCGGGGGGGGGGTGGCAGAGTGGGGGGGGTGGTAGAGTCGGGGGGGGGGGGTGGCAGAGTGGTTTGGGGGCAGAGTGGGGGGGGGGGAATGGCAGAGTGGGGTGGGGGCAGAGTGGGGGGGGGAATGGCAGAGTGGGGGGGGGGGTGGCGGGTGGCCCCCCGACTCCTAGCGGATGAAGGGTTTCCTCTCCTTGCTCTCTGCGCCCCCCTCTCCGTCCCCCTCGGCGTCCTCCTCCTCAGCGGCCTCGCTCACCTCGGGGCTGTGCCGGTCCCCCTGCTCGCGCGCACCGCCGCCCCGCCCCCCCCAGCCCCGCACAGACACCCCGCACAGACACCCCGCACAGACACCCCGCACAGACACCCCGCACAGACACCCCGCACAGACACCCCGCACAGACACCCCGCACAGACACCCCGCACGTGCTCAATACACTGCTGGGCGAGGTGCCCGCTGCTGCCGCCGCTGATGTGGATGACCGCGAGGACGGTGACGAATGCGATGGTGATGATAATATAGGTTTTTGGGTCAGATCGCGTTATTTATAAATGTGTCGTAACCTTCGATTTAAAGCTTTCGTGACTGCAGGGATTCATCTTCTTGGTTCTTTCGGTAAAGTCATGTAGAATGGAAATAATAAAATAATACAAATAAAAAGAAATATTTTTAATTTTAATTTTTATTATTTTATTATTTCCATTCTACGTGACTTTACAAATAAAACATAATTATTTTATTATGTTTTATTTTTATTATTTTATTATTTCCATTTTACGTGACTTTACCGAAAGAACCAATAAGATGTGTCGTAACCCTCCACCACCCGACACGGCCAAACAGTAAAAATGTGTCACGTTTTCCAAGGACAAAATAATTCACTTGTTTAGCCGACCGGTGTGCTGAAGAGAGAATCAACAGCATTTTTTAATTTGAGTAGTCCGACGTTTCGCTGATAATTACAATCGGCTTCATCGGGCAAGAATGGTGAAGCTCTCCTGTTGCTTCCGGTCTTAAATAGAGCAGCATCAGGGTGACGTCATCATTCAATTAAATTCAATCTGGTGCAGTGATTCGATGGTGATGCTCGTGCTGGTGAATGTGATGATGAATGTTGCCGATGATGATTCCGATGATGAATATGGAAGTGACTTTAACACGTCGGAGGAGGCTTTCGCGTCCAACATCATCCACAATAGAGGTTGTTTGGGTGAGATTGCGTAAAATATAAATGTGTCGTTAAACCCGCCGCCACCCGACACAGCCAACTAGTAAGGGTTGTCACGTAAACAGAACGTGGCCAATTCGTCACTAGTACAGCACTAACCAGTGTGTTGGAGAGCCAAGCCACAACATTTACAATCTAAGTACGACGTTTCGCCAATAATTACAACTAGCTTCATCAGGCGACAGTCATATTTGTAGAGAAGTATAACTGTTTTGTTCCTTAACTAGACCAGTATTATGGATGAAAGTTACTACTGCTGCAGCTGATGCTGATGCATATGGAAGTTACTGCTGCTGCTGTTGGGCTATCGTGATGGTCTGAGTCAACCCTCATCGGGATTTCAACCCGTGGACCGACCTGCAACCGAGGCCAATGCCGCCAGAGTTCAACCAACATTAGCTCTGTGGCCATGTGTCTCGTCTCCTCCTCATCCTCCTCATCCTCCTACTCCTCCTCATCATCATCCCCTCGACTCATGCTCCTACAGTTCCTCCCCCGCTCCCATCAGCCCCCACCTCCCACCCCTCCCTACCCCCCATCTCCCACCTCCTCCCCCACTCTCCCCCCCCACCTCAAACCCCCACTCCCCCCCACTCCCCTCCAACTCCCTCCCACTCTGCCCGCTACCCCTCCCTCTGGTTGCCATGGGACCGGTTGCCAGGTTACGGCAACGGTCGTCGTAATTTCTGTTGCCCCTGGTAACCGCAGAGCGCCGCCCGTCGAGTCTTGACGTTGCGCGTCACTCGTTCGTTCGTTCATTCACACGCCCAATTATTCATTCATTCACTCACCCACTCAACCACACACTCCACTCATTCGCACGCCCAATTATATATTATTCATTCACTCACTTGCCCACTCAACCACACACTCCACTCATCCCACTCATTCACATGCCCAATTATTCATTCACTCAACTACACACTCCACTCACTCACACGCCCAATTATTCATTCACTCACCCACTCAACCACACACTCCACTCATCTCACTCACTCACACGCCCAATTATTCACTCACCTACTCATTCACACACCCAATTATTATTTCACTCACCCACTCGTTCACTCAGCCACACACTCACTCATTCACCAATTAATTAACTCATTAATTCACGCACCCACTCATTCACGAGCCCAGTCATTCATTCGCTAACCTGCTCATTCGTTCCTTCACTAAACCGCACTCATTCGTTCACTCACTCGTCAATTCATTCGCTCACTCATTCACGAGCGAAATTATTCATTCATTCGCGTTCTCATTCTTTCACTCTCTCGCTCAAAACAAAAAACCACAAATGACTCATGAATCCACTCACTTGCTTACTAAATCACGGGGTGCGGGTAAGAGGGAGGAGGGGGGGGGACCCACCTGGGGGGAGGGGCTCTTCTCCGTATCCAGAACCACGCGGCCGATGTTGCTGCGGTCAAGAAGTTTTTGCATCGCCTCCTTCACCTGCGGGGGGGGGGGGGGGGGGGTGAGAAAGAACCACGTGGTGCTCTGCCATCCAGCAGTGGAGTTTCGCCACGTGTCGGTATCGTCGGCTGTTCAGTGTCGTCGTGTGGCTGTGGTGCCTCTCCCGCTCCTCTCTCCGAGGCGTTGTGAGATGCAATCAACTGAATTGTACATTGTGACCAGCATACATGTTACATTTTTAATTATTGGTGTGCCCATTACTGTAATGCACAAACAAACCACATCTATTTATTCATGGCCTCCAGACTCGCTGGGTAAGTAGCCCGGACCGAAAATAACACAACTCCAGTACGAGGGAGATGATGATGGTGGTGGTGATGATGGTGGTGATGATGGTGGTGGTGGTAATGATGGTGGTGGTGATGATGGTGGTGATGGTGATGATGATCGTGGTGATTGTGGTGATGATGATGATGGTGGTGGTGGTGATGATGATGATGGTGGTGATGATGATGATGGTGATGATGGTGGTGATGATGATGATGATGGTGGTGGTGATGATGATGGTGGTGATGATGGTGATGATGATGGTGATGATGATGGTGGTGATGATGGTGACGGTGGTGGTGGTGATGATGGTGGTGATGGTGGTGATGATGGTGATGGTGGTGATGATGATGATGGTGGTGATGATGATAATGATGGTGATAACAAATAATGTCTCTCAATTCAAGGAACCTGTGAACTCTTATTCTTGGTTCTTTCGGTAAAGTCACGTAGAAGGGAAATAATAAAAGAAAGTATATAAAAACATTTTTTATCTCGACGTTTCGACTGCAACACAAGCAATCATCATCAGGTGTGAAATCCACAGCAAGAACATTTGAACTATTGTTCTCATTTGACACCTTCGGCAGTGTGCTGTTTGTCGCTGGCCGCTTAGCGTTAGTTTTTTTGCGTGCTTAGCAACGTCGAAGTGGCAGGGCCGCTGTGCCCTTCGCAAAAGAAATCTGCAGGGCGCCTCCTCCTCCTCCTGCTGCTGCTCCTGCTTCTAATCCGCGGGGCGCGACATTTGCACCGCGGGGCGTCCCCTGAATAATACAGCGGGGCGACCCCCCCCCCCCCCGACTCCCGCCTCGGCGAGTGTGTCACGGGTTGTCATGGCGACGCGAGTTAGACTTCGACGGGGTTGCCCTGGCAACGGGTACCCGAGTGGGTGGGAGGAGGAGGATGAGGGTGCTGATGGATGGAATGAGTTCGATAAAGAAGTGGGTTGGCAAATGGATGGTGATGGTGTGTTTTTGCTGGCGATGTTACTACACCGGTGCTGTACATTGTCATGCGGTTCTGTCACTACTCCACTGCTGCATGAAGGCCTCCCAGCGGCTCACGCGGGCGTTGTTTGTTAACTGTGGCAGCAGCCCGCAGCAAGCTGCTATGCAGGCTGATTCAACAACTTGGCCAGACCCAAGCCTGTAACGTAGCGCGCTAACCGCTACACCACCGCTCCACACACACGCACGCACACACACGCACACACACACACACGCACACACACCACGCACACACACCACGCACACACACACGCACACAACACACGCATACACACACGCACACAACACACGCACACACACACGCGCACACACACGCACACGTGCTCTTAACATTAGCGCCAGATGCACATCGGGAGTCGGTGGTGAGCTCACGGGACATGGGACGCAAACACATACATCACGAAGACAAAGATCCCCCGTATAGCCTTAACAGACTGTTGGGGTAAGTGCTGTTAGCAGTAGCAGCAACTATGAAAGATCATCACGATCGCACGAGGAGATGGTGCGGCCAAGAACCACGCCCGGCCGCAATTCGTCTCGCCGGTGGCGATGCGGTGCACACCACAAGCAGTAGAGCTGAGTCGACCAAGGGCTGGTAGCGCTCGGTGGTGGAGGCGGATGGAGGTGGAGGAAGAGGATGAGGTGGGTGGTGAAAAAGTTAGACGAGAGAGGAGGAGGTGGGTGGGAGAGGAGGAGGAGGAGAATGAGGTGGAGGAGAGACACGGACAGGAAGAGGGTGGGAGAGAAGGTGGATGAGGTGGATGTAGGATGAGGAGGAGAGAGACGGGAGAGCAGGAGTAGTTTGCGAGATGAGGAGGAGAGCGAGTGGAGGCTGAAGGAGGGGGGAGGAGGAGGAGGAGAGAGACGCGGAGCAGGAGGCGCGCACGGCGCGTGGCGTGCAGGATGCGGCGCAGACAGCGCGGCGTAGCCCCCCACCCCCCCACCACCCCCCCACCACCCCCCACCACCCCCCACCACCCCCCACCCCCCGTGTTGTAGCGCGGGGCTAACCTCGCGTCTCTGGCAGCCACTGCAAGGCCGTGAGCTCAGCCACTTAACAGCCCCCGCGGGAGACGCCTCCACCCCCCCACCTCCACCTCTCTCCTTCTGTGCTCCCCTCCCTCTGCGCGCGTTCATCCGAGCGTTTCAAAGGCAGCGGGGGGGGGGGGGGGGGGCACGGGCCAAGGTCGTATCCACGCAGACTCGCAGGGCCACACTGACACCACGAGCACTGTGGGGGGGGGGGGGGGGGGGGGCTGTCACAGAGGATTTGTGCCTTGAACTTGCAGCCGCAGCCACAGACAGAGGCTCCTTGTCCTACACACATCTGGTCGTTCACCGGCATTGGCCGGGTGCCTGACTGTGCTGCTGATGGGCCACTGAATGTCGAAACCACTCCTTTGCCTTCAACGTTTGGCAGTTCACCAGCACTGATTTGAGCGAAGCCTGACCCTGCTGCTGATGGGACACAGCATTTCTAAACCAGCCTTACAATGAAACGCTGCAGAGATCAGCACTGGGGAAACAAAGGCGGTCGGGCGTGTTTTTTTGGCCGCACCACCCGCTCGTGTGCCGTGCCCTACCCGAAGAGGCGCTCGCTAACAATCAATCTGTGAGCATCTTTTATTAACCGCCGAATAGATACTTGCCTTGCCCGACAAGTACCTGCACGGATGGCGTGGGAAGCAGCTGTCAACACGTGTTCCAGATCTCCCTCAAGACGGCGCTACCCCCCCCGAACCCCCCCCGAACCCCCCAGCCCCCCAGCCGCGCCCCCCACCACTCACCCCCTTCTAGCCCCCACCCCTCCTCGCTTGTTTTGGTGGCGAGACATCTGCTGGCGAGCAAAGCGAAGACACGTCAAGTCGTGAGCGACAGGGCTCCTGAGAGGACGGGGAACAGATGCTGAACCTTAATGGTCGTGTGGAGGAGCGTGAGATGCGCAGATGAGATATGTACGCACGCACAAAGACAAAGATCCCCCGTGTAGCCTTAACAAACTTTTGGAGCAAGTGCTGTTAGCGAGTTGCACCTATGAAGGCCGGAACGGCGCACGAAGGGATGCGGTGGCCAGAACCACGCCCGGCCGCCTTTGTCTCCCCAGTGACGATGTTTTACGCACCGCACCAGGTACTCGTTTGAGGCTGAGTCAACCTACAGGAGGTCCAAGACTGGTTCACTTAATCGTCACTGGTGTTGGCCGTGAGCGGGAATCGAACTGGGGTCGCCAGGTTCGTAGCGCAGCGCGCCAACTGCTACACTACCGCTCCCCACTATATACACAGCTACACACAGACACACGCACACACGTGTACACGTGCTTCACGAATGAGATCTGCAGAAGAAGCTCTCCGCGAGCCTCCACAATCGCGGGCTCCACGCGGGTGGAACCGGCGCTGCCCGCGAGACAAACGCGGCCCGCGACTTCGCTGCAGAGACTCCAAGTGGAGGAGGGGTGAGACACGGGTCCAGAACCGCCGCCTGCCGAGTCAGTGGTTCGCTTTTGCGATTTCAATTCGATGCGTGCATGGATCGATGGATGGGTGTATGTTTGACCTCATCGTCATCATCATCATCATCGTCGTCGCGATCGATGGGCAGATAGTTCGTAGGTGCACATTTCGTCACTGGATGTCGAAATGAGTCCACGCCTGAACACATCTGTATGCTGAACTTCTTTCGCACCGCGCGTAGCTGAGCGCGCGCATCGGAGGTGCGTGGTGGACGGATATGATCTCGAGCGGACGGAGTGTGAAACAGAAGTGAGCGGGCCGACACGGGGGACACGGGGGGGGGCAGGGGGGACACGGGGGGGGGGCACGGGGGGACACGGGGGACATGGGGGGGGGGAACAGGGGGGACACGGGGGGAGGACACGGGGGTGGACACGGGGGATACGGCGTTAGCTGAGTGGTGTCCGCTCGTCCCACCAGGACACCACGGCGTCTTGAATCGAGGCAGGACCATCAATCCAGCAGTGGATGGACCACGTCTGACGACGACGACGACAATGACGCGAACACAATCACGCGCGTGGTGAGACCGCGACTCATCCAGCGGTGGACGAGAACCGACCTCCTCCAGCGCCCACACGGAGTCGACGCGAGGCCGCAGGGCCCCCGCGTCGTAGAGGGCCGTGATCTCGGCCATGGCGCGGCGCGCGCGCGCGGGCCCCTCGGCGCTGAAGAGCAGCGGCAGCAGCTGGAATCCGCCCATGCGCTTGTTCTCCTCGTACAGACGCACGGGGCTCACCTTCTCCACCTGCCACCACTGCGGCGGGGACACGGTAGGGGGGGGGGGGGGGCACACACGGGGGGGGGGGGGGGCACGGGGAGACACACACGGGGCGGGGGGGGGGAGACACGGACACACACACACGCACGGGGACACACACACACGGGGACACACACACACGGGGACACACACACACACACGCGGGGGACACGGGCGGTACGCACACAAGGTACACGGGGGTACGAGAGACACAGACACACAAGCACACATACAGGGGGGGGGGGGGCACAGGGACACACACACACGGGGACACGGGGCACACGGGATACCCACACAGACGCACACGGGAGACACGGCCGGTACACACACGGGGCGATACGGGGTACACGAGGCATGCGGAGGGATACGGGGGTAGCTGAGTGGGGGAGCTGAGTGGAGTTCGCTCGTTTCCACCAGGACACAGCGCGGTGTAGTGGGGCAGTCATCAGTGATGCTGTGCCCAGGGGGGTGCGGGGCCCGGGGCGACCCACACACCGTGAGCCCTAACGCGGATGCCTTGAAACTCAACCCCAAGCATGAGATCTTACACCCCGATTCGGTGCTCTGAGTTGTGCCTCGTGGTGGCAGGCCGTGTTAATTGCCGTCTCCCATCTGGGTGTCGGAGTCGCTGGAACAGCTGCGGGGAGTCCAACTAGACGCCCCCCCCCTCTTCGTCTCGGCCCCAGGGAGGTGGCAACCACCGACGAAAAAAACTAAGACTAAGATCCCCCGTAGAGAATTTACAGATTTTTTGGGAGCTATTTGCGAGGAGCACTTATGAAGGCCGGCACGGTACGCGAGGGGTGGGTGGCCATGCCCAGCCGAATTTGTCTCCCAAGTGGCGATGTTTACACACTACATCAGTTACTCATTTGAGGCTGAGTCGACCTAGGGCGGGCTCAGGACCGGTTTAAATAATCGTCACTGGTGTTGGCCATGAGCGGGAATCTAGCTCGTGTCGCTAGGTTCGTAGTGCAGCGTAGCTGCTACCGCTCCCCACGCGCACACACCAACATTTATACCCACGAGACCAAGGCAAGGGTCCTCCGTATTGCCTTTACATGCTGTTGGGGCAAGTGCTCTTTTTGCGGGCACCTATGAAAACCTGAATAGCCACAAACCCCACGCACCCAACCACACACTCTCCCCCCCCAGGTACCCACCCACACACGTGGCCTCTAAAACCACAACGCTCACCGACTTGGCGAAGCTGAAGAAGCTTTTGGTTTCTCCTGTCACCACGTTCGATGATCCTGTGCGAGAGGGGAGAGGGGAGACACCCACAGAGAGAGAGAGACAGGGAGAGGGGAGAGAGAGCGGGGAGACAGAGAGAGAGAAAGGGAGAGAGGAGAGAGAGATAAAAAGGAGAGAGCAAGAGAGAGATCGAGCGCGGAGTGCGTCTCCGCCACGCTGCGATGATTGCTCAGTCAGCGATGTGCGGGCGGTGTTTGCCCCCCACTCCCACACACTGGAGCGGTGCGCGCAGCAGCCGCGGGTTGCAACGAATCCTGCAGTTGGTGACGACGATGTGGCCGCAACTCTCGCAATGCAACGTGGGCGCCACGGTGGCTAGGAGATGTTAACTCCCTCGCCTGTTATGCGGGAGGTCGTGAGTTCGATCCCAACCCTGACGCCTGCTGCTGTATATTTGGAGCTTGCGTGCATGTGTGTGTCTCTCTCTCCCTCTCCCCGTGGTCGTGATGCATTTTCTCCTGGTCCTCCGGTTTTTCCCCCTCCACATTTAGAATCAACATCACCACGCGTTCAGAGTATTTGGCTGCTATAAATGTCCACGTGATAAGCCACTCTTTGTTGAGCTATCATCTGTGGCCAGGTCGCTTCTGAAAAAGAGCTACATAGCTCAGTGGGAATTTAACTCGTCAAATAAAAAAATAGTTTAAAAGTAGAATTTGTTTTATTTAATTTTATTGGCGTGCCGATGAGTTTATTAATTAATTAACTTACATATTTCACCCGCAAAAAAGTCGCTTGAGATGGAGCACCACTTTCACAACAACAGCGGTGACCTCATCACGGCGCCTGTGCCAGGCTAGGTGCACCTTGAGACCACGTGAAGTGTCGAAGGCTCGCTGCTGGCAGGAGGCCACGGGACAGACCCAGGTAATCACGGGTCGACTGACTGAGATGACTGGCCGATGCGCCAGCTGTGCCCTCTACTGTGCCAACTCGCTGCGTTTTAGCCGCCCTGCGCTCTAATTCGTTGTTGTGAGCGTTACTCCTCTGCCCGTAGTTGTTGTTGTTGGTGGGCGACTGCACACACACACACACCGGTTGGATATCCACATGCGTGTCTCTGTGTGTGTATACGTGCTGTGTGTACATGTGCTGTGTGTACACGTGCGTTACTTCGCTACGAACCCGGCGACCTGAGTTCGATTCCGGCTCAAGATCAACTAACGCCGGTGACGATTTGTATAAACCCGTCCCGGACTCAGCCTCAAATGACGGCCCCAGTGCGGTGTGTAAAGCGCATTGGGCTCGGTGTGTAAACATCACCGTATCTGGCGAATATCACAACCGGTGCTGGGCCTCCCCCTACGTCGACTGGAGCGGTGTGTAATACACATCAGCGCACGGGTGAGACAAAGTCGGACGGGCGTGGTGCTGGTCACCCAACCCGCTCGTGCGCCGTGCCTGCTTGCCCCGACAGTCCGTGAGAGGCTGCCCCGGGGGACCTCGCGTGCGTGGCTACCGTAGAGGATGTAGGTGCCCATGGGCTTGAGCAGCGCCAGCCCCTTGGCCGTGTTCTCTCCGCACAGGCAGTCCAGGACGATATCCACGCCGCCAGGGCACACTCTGCGAGGAGGAGGGGGGGGGGGCATAATATAATTAGATGGGGGGGGGGGGGGGCATGAGAGGGATGAGGAGTGGGGGAAGCTGAGGTGAACGCTGCGCGTTTCTTTGGTGATAATAAAAAAAACTATTTTTTTAAAATATGAAATTAAAACAACAGTGTAGGAGGCGAGGGGTATAGGGGGGACACAGAGAGGCCGTGTGGAGGGATGGGTGCGGGATTCCCACGGGAGGGGGGTAGAGGGATGCGAAGTTGATGGGGAAAGGAGTTGGGGGGGATGAGGGGAGGGGTTGGGGGGGATGAGGGGAGGGGGTTGGGGATGGAAAAGGTGGGGGGGGGGAATGCTCCTCCTTCCCCCCACCTTCATCCCTCTTCACATACTGCACCGAGCTGGGGGTGAGTTAATGAGGGGAGCGCTGGAGGGGAGGGGCTGCCCACCCGCCCACCCCCCCACCTTTTCACATCCTGCACATAGTCGCCGGTGCGGTCGATCACGTGGGTGAAGGAGTCGCGGATGACGTCATGCTTGGCGAGTGACGCGGTGCCCAGCAGAGTGACGCGCGGCACCGAGGCGCACAGCTGCGCCACGGCCAGGCCCTGCGCCGGTGGGGAGGGGAGGGGAGAGGGTCAGAATCTTGACTTAGACTGGAGCAGGAATCCGATGAGCTATAAAGCTCTTTCTCAAACCTGTCCTGGAAGGGGCACGGGGGTTAGCGAGTTCCAACATCGAACAATACGAGCAACGATAGCAGTGCAAGCATCGGGGAAAGGTAAGCAAGTCACGAAAAACGAACGAATTAGAATACAATCATTATGTATGAGTAGAAATTGCGTAAGTACATCAATTCCTGCCGATGTCTCCCACACTAAACACAAGCTTGGACAAGGCAGGAAAACAACATCTACGAAATGATGCGTCATCTGGTCCAACACCATGTGAGACTAGGCTCTAAAGAAAGCTGTCTCGGGTGTGGACCAATCAATTTCAAGGACAGTGCATACATGATCAGAGTTGTGTTTTTTGTTTGCATTCCGACTGCAGGTATTGTGGTCAATGCAAACATGACTCCTTGTAAGAAAAATGCGTCAGTTTTGTTGCCAGATAAAAGGGTAAAAAAACAATGATCATATTTTGCTACTGGCAAATGAGGTTCCAATGGTGAAATGATGCTTCTTTACCCAGGAGGACCTCACCGAGTCTCAAGACGCCGTGTCCGGAGGGTCCTGCCAAATGTCCGATGATGAGAAGCGTTTACGATGATGACTGACCGCTTGGACCTGAGTCTCAGTCAACATCCCGGGTCGCCCCAGAGATTCGTAGAAAATCCAACGTCTGCTCTCCCCGTCATTCATCCGAAGGCAGGCCAATTGTGCGCACTGCTTGTGTTTGAAGCCAGGGGCATATTCCGTGCGTGGGGCATATTATGTACAAATTTAACCCTTTCCCATTCCGACGACGTACATGTTCGTCATCTGGTTTTATTCCGATCCCATTCCAATCACATGTACGTCATCGGATGGCCTGCACGTCATCGGAAGGGATTTGAAAAATAACTAAAGTAATAAAACTGTATCGGTACCGAGGCTTCCATAAGGCCATGCGGAAGGGCGTGCGGCACAGTTTGGCGCCAGCTATCGTATAGAGTGCGGTCGTGTCGCTACGGTTCTCTGCGGTGAGTACAATGTCTTTAAAAACAACCGCGCTACGCCTTTTTGAATAACATTAACGCCGAGCCGCATCCTCGTTCCCGAGATTGAGCGGTGAAGCGGAGCGACACCCTGCAGCTTGCAGGGTGCGCGGTGACCCCCACCCCGCCCCCGGACCCACCACCGTCACTCACCACTCCGCCGCCCGCAGAGTGAACCAGCACGGACATGCCCTCCCGCAGCCCCCCCATGTCGAACAGCATGAGGTGGGCGGCCAGGTAGCTGATGGGGAGCGCGGCTCCCTCCACGAAGCTCATGGAGTCCGGCAGACGGAACACGTGGTCGGCGCGCGCCACCGTCGCCTCGGCCCACGCGCCCAGGTTGACGACGGCGGCGACGCGATGCCCCACCTGTGGAAGGAGAGGTGGGGAGGGTGGGGGAGAGGTGGGGAGGGTGGGGTAGAGGTGGGGAGGGTGGGGGAGAGGTGGGGAGGGTGGAGGTAGAGGTGGGGAGGGTGCAGGGAGAGGTGGGGAGGGTGCAGGGAGAGGTGGGGAGGGTGGAGGTAGAGGTGGGGAGGGTGCAGGGAGAGGTGGGGAGGGTGGAGGGAGAGGTGGGAAGGGTGCAGGGAGAGGTGGGGAGGGTGGGGGAGAGGTGGGGAGGGTGGAGGGAGAGGTGGGGAGGGTGGAGGGAGAGGTGGGGAGGGTGGAGGGAGAGGTGGGGAGGGTGGAGGGAGAGGTGGGAAGGGTGGAGGGAGAGGTGGGGAGGGAGAGGTGGGGAGGGTGGAGGGAGAGGTGGGAAGGGTGGAGGGAGAGGTGGGGAGGGTGGAGGGAGAGGTGGGGAGAGTGGAGGAGTGGTGGGGAGGGTGGGGGAAAGGTGGGGAGGGTGGGGGAGTGGTGGGGAGGGTGGAGGGAGAGGTGGGGAGGGTGGAGGGAGAGGTGGGGAGGGTGGAGGGAGAGGTGGGGAGGGTGGAGGGAGAGGTGGGGAGGGTGGAGGGAGAGGTGGGGAGAGTGGAGGAGTGGTGGGGAGGGTGGGGGAAAGGTGGGGAGGGTGGGGGAGTGGTGGGGAGGGTGGAGGGAGAGGTGGGGAGAGAGAGGTGGGGAGGGTGGAGGGAGAGGTGGGGAGGGTGGAGGGAGAGGTGGGGAGAGTGGAGGAGTGGTGGGGAGGGTGGGGGAAAGGTGGGGAGGGTGGGGGAGTGGTGGGGAGGGTGGAGGGAGAGGTGGGGAGAGAGAGGTGGGGAGGGTGGAGGGAGAGGTGGGGAGGGTGGGGGAGAGGTGGGGAGAGTGGAGGAGTGGTGGGGAGGGTGGGGGAAAGGTGGGGAGGGTGGGGGAGTGGTGGGGAGGGTGGAGGGAGAGGTGGGGAGAGAGAGGTGGGGAGGGTGAGGGAGAGGTGGGAAGAGTGGAGGGAGAGAAACAGAGAGAGGGAGGGAGACGGGGGGAGGGAGAGAGAGACGGAGAGGGACGTATAGCCTTAACATAATCGTAATCTTTTATTTTATCCTGGAGAAATCCGATAAGCTATGAAGCTCTTTTTCACAGGTGTCCGGTAGGGGCGGGTAAGAAAGTTACAACAACGGGACTGCTGGGGAATCTGCCGTTAGCGCGCTGCATCCGTGAAGGCCGACACGGCCCACGAGGTGATGGGTGGCTGGCACCACACATCAGGCACTCATTTGAAGCCGAGTTGACCTAGGGGAGGCCCACTACCGGTTTAGGTTTTCGTCACTGACGTCGATGGTCGTGAGTGGGAATCTAACTCGGGTCGCCGGGTTCGTTTGCAGCTGCGGAAACCGCTACACTGTCGCTCCCCACGCACACACAAAGACAAAGATCCCCCGTATAGCCTTAACAGATTGTTGGAGAAAGTGCTGTTAGCAAGCACCTATGAAAGCCGGCACAGCACAAGAGGGAGTGGGTGACCAATACCACTCCCGGCCGCCTTTGTCTCCCTAGTGGCGATGTTTACACATCGCACCAGGTACTCATTTGAGGCTGCGTCGACCTAGGGGAAGCACAGGACCGGCTCCCATAATCGTTTTTGGTGTTGGCCGTGAGCGGTAGCGTCGCAGTTAGGTTACATATGTATACCACACGTTCGCATGTATACAGCCGGACGGAGCACACGCACACGCGTGCACATGCACGCGTGCACGCGCGCGTGCGTGTGATCATTCCGCGTGACACGGTGACCAGGTCACAGCTGTCCCCGGCCCTCTTTGTCTTCTTTAATTAAAACCATCCGAGCGAGCAGCGCGGTCCGGCGCGCCGTTGCAGTGACTCACGCACGAGGTGGAGGCGATCTCCCAATGTATCTGTTATATTAATAATAAACTCATTATTAATCATAGATAATAACGTATTTTTTTTATCCAGGAGAGCCACGCTGCTGCTGTATTGAATGTATATTTTAAGATGTTTTTCTCAGCCAATTAATGATGAGGATTTAGCATTTACAACCCATCTCTTCTCTCCTAGCCCATCCTGCTGCTGCTACTCCCTGCACCAAACCCCACCACTACCCCAACCCCCATCACTACCCCAACCCCTATTACTACCCCAACCCCTATTACTACCCCAACCCCTATTACTACCCAAACCCCTATTACTACCCCAACCCCCATCACTACCCCAACCCCTATTACTACCCAAACCCCTATTACTACCCCAACCCCTATTACTACCCCAACCCCTATTACTACCCAAACCCCATCACTACCCCAACCCCTATCACTACCCCAACCCCTATCACTACCCCAACCCCTATCACTACTCCAACCCCTATCACTACCCCAACCCCTATTACTACCCAAACCCCTATTACTACCCCAACCCCTATTACTACCCAAACCCCATCACTACCCCAACCCCTATCACTACCCCAACCCCTATCACTACCCCAACCCCCACCACTACTTCAACCCCTATCACTACCCCAACCCCTATTACTACCCCAACCCCTATTACTACCCCAACCCCTATTACTACCCCAACCCCTATTACTACCCCTACCCCCATCACTACCCCTATTACTACCCAAACCCCACCACTACTCCAACCCCTATTACTACCCCAACTCCTATTACTACCCCAGACCCTACCACTACCCCTACCCCTATCACTACTCCTATCACTACCCAAACCCCACCACTACTCCAACCCCTATTACTACCCCAAACCCTATCACTACCCCTACCCCTATCACTACCCAAACCCCTACCACTACTCCAACCCCTATTACTACCCCTATCATTACCCCTATCACTACCCCAACCCCTGTCACTACCCCAACCCCTATCACTACCCAAACCCCTACACTACCCCAACCCCTATCACTACCCAACCCCTATCACTACCCAAACCGCATCACTACCCCAACCCCTATCACTACCCCAACCCCTATCACTCTATCCCTCCGTACAGACAGAATGAACAGATAGAGATTAGTGCACACACTTTGCTTGTTGACCGCCTTCTCCTGGCGAGCCACAGGGTACGGGCGACACCCTGAACGCCCACGCGAATGGAGTTTCGCAACAACGTACGGTGCGAAAGAAGTTCAACACAAACACACGCACGCACACGCACAACCCTCCACAACAGGGCTGGATTACAGTCAGCTACGTGTAGCAGCAGCAGTAGCAGCACCTCCCGGCTGATGCTGCTGAATCTGCGGTGTCAGCACCACAGCTCCTACCTCACTGCACGTGGGAGCATTGAACGTCGTGTTGAACTTCTTTCGCGCCGTACGCAGACAACCGTGCTAATCGGAGGTGCGGGACTGATGATCTATCACTCACTGAGTCACTGCAGAAACTCGTCCACTCACCGTCCGGCCACACGCCTCCTCGTAGCTATTGGTGTCGCTGCTGTTGTTACGACAACTGCAAGGTCGCTGTCAACGTCAACTTCACTCATCATCAATCCCTCCACTCCGTGTCGAGGACGCGGTCTGTACCAGACACTGGCCGTGTTGTCTCCACCACGAACGCCATCAACCACACCGTGTTCACTCATCGCCACCACACCGCAGGCTGCAATAACTCACTCACACACTCACTCACTCACCCACTCACTCACACACTCACACCCACCCTCACTCACTCATATATGTATTTCCTTCTATGTATACATACATCCATGCCTGTAGGACAGATTCAGCTCCATCATAGGACTCTATGATTACGATGATGATGATCAATCTGCTTGCTGCTGCTGCTGACGACGATGATGATGATGTTATATGCGACTACTTTGCCGATGCTGATGACCCTGCTGCTTCTGCTGATGATACCAGCTGCTGCTCGTGACGTTGCTTCTTTGCTCATCACCCTGCTGCTGATGCTGCTGCTACTGCTGATGATAATGCTGCTGCTCATTATGCTGATGTTGATCCTGCTGCTAATGCTGCTGCTGTTGATGATGATAATGCTGATGTTGCTCCTGCTGCTGATGCTGCTGCTCCTGCTGCTGATGCTGATGCTGCTGCTACTGCTGATGATAATGCTGCTGCTGCTGATGATGATAGTCTTACCTCGAAGTCCCTTACGCCCTCCCCGAGCGCGTCCACCACGCCCGCGCACTCGTATCCCGGCACCAGCGGGGTCCGCGGTTGCGGATCCACGTTACCCTGGCGGACGAGCAGGTCCAGGAAGCCGACGCCACTGCCAGGTGGAACGAGAGAGAGAGTCACCGTGTTAGCGTGTGTCAGTGTGCGTCAGCGTGTGTCAGCGTGTGTCAGTGTGTGTCAGCGTGTGTCAGCGTGTGTCAAGGTGTCAGTGCGTGTTAGCACTGACACCCACCCCTTTCCTGTACCGGCACGGTACAGGAAGGGGGTGGGTGGCCAGCGCCACACCGGGCCGCCTTTGTCTCCCCAATTGCTGATGTTCATACATCACACTCATTCGAGGTTGAGTCGATCTAGGGGACGCCTTGGACCGGTTCAAATAATCGTCACTGGTGTTGGTGGCCGCGAGCGGGAATCGAACTCAGGACGCCGGGTTCGTAGCGCAGCGCGCGAACCGCTGCGCCACACACATACAAATACAAAGATCACCCGTATAGCCTTAACAGACTGTAGGGGCAAGTGCTGTTAGCGAGCACATTTAAAGGTCGGCACACGGCACACGAGGGGGGTGGTGGCCAGCACCACGCCCGACCGCCTTTGTCTTCCCAGTGGCGATGTTTACACACCGCACCGGGTACTCATTTGAGGCTGAGTCGACCTACGGGAGGCCCAGGACCAGTTCAGGTAATTGAACCCGGGTCGCCAGATTCGTAGCGCAGCGCGCTAACCGCTACACCACGGCTCCCCGAGTACACTCACACACACACATACCCACATAGCAAACACCTAATGACACGTGTATACAAACACCGCGAGATGTGTATTTGCATGTGCGTAGGATCTATTGATCGAGTGATGAAACCTGATTTCTGGACTGATCGCTCGCGCAGATTCAAATGATGACTTGGAGGGCGTTCCGCATATTATACGAACTAACCATCGCCCTCTTACACAATACCCATGCCCATGTACTACTGCCCATGTACTACTGCCCATGTACTACTGCCCATGCCTATGTACTACTGCCCATGTACTACTGCCCATGTACTACTGCCCATGTACTACTGCCCATGTACTACTGCCCATGCCCATGTACTACTGCCCATGTACTACTGCCCATGCCCATGTACTACTGCCCATGTACTACTGCCCATGCCCATGTACTACTGCCCATGTACTACTGCCCATGCCCATGTACTACTGCCCATGTACTACTGCCCATGTACTACTGCCCATGTACTACTGCCCATGCCCATGTACTACTGCCCATGTACTACTGCCCATGCCCATGTACTACTGCTCATGTACTACTGCCCATGCCCATGTACTACTGCCCATGCCCATGTACGCACGGCCGTGTGCGCGATGCCCTTGGCTCTGCGTGCGAATGAGCAATGGGAATGATCGATGGCGGGGGGAGCGAGTGGCGCTCTGCGCCAGCGGACAGCACCGCGTCTGCCGCTCGTCTCGCACGCTCCACCACCCCCCTCCTCCTCCTCCTGCACTGCCTCGCACACTCCACCACCACCACCCCCCCTCCTCCTCCTGCACTGCCTCGCACGCTCTACCACCACCACCCCCCCTCCTCCTACTGCACTGCCTCGCACGCTCCACCACCACCACCCTCCTCCTCCTGCACTGCCTCGCTCGCTCGCTCCACCACCACCCCCCCTCCTCTTCCTGCACTGTCTCGCACGCTCCACCACCACCACCACCCCCCCTTCCTCCTGCACTGCGCAAACGCGGAAGGGCGCAGAGCGGCAGAGTGAATGCAGATCAGAGGTCAAACACTCATTGGGGTCAAACACTCCGTGGGTGAAACACTCCGCGGAGCACACACTCTGTGGGTGAAACATTCTTTAGGTCAACAACTCATTGGGTCAAACACTCCTCCGTAGGTGAAACACTCCATGGGTGAGACACTCTGTGGGCGAAACACTCCGCGAGTCACACACTCTGTGGGTCCAACACTTTTGAGGTCAAACACTCGGCGGTCAAACACTCCGTGGGTGAAACACTCCGTGGACCACACACTCCGCAGGGCAAACACTCTGTGGGTGAAACACTCATGGGTCAAACACTCGAGGTGTCAAATTTCTCCACGGGTCAATCTACACAACAAGCCCGCCACTCGCTCTAACCAACCACGAACCCCAAGCAACAAACTCCCAGAACCACTCGTTCCAACCAACCGCTCGCTAACTACCAAGCAACCTGCTCAGCGAACTTACAACCCCAGCGCGCGGCTCTGTGCTGACACCTGTGGCCTGTGACTGCCGATTAGAGGACATCGTGGGCCTGGGTACCTGGCGGATCCAAGGAGTGCCCCCCCTCCCCTTCCCCTCCTCCCCTCTTGAAGCCCCAAGATTGGTATTTGATTGATATTTACCGTAGGAAGTACATGGGAGATGTGTTTTTGTGTATTATCATTCATGTGGGGGGGGGGGGGGGAGGCGTTTGCCACCAATCCCCCCTCCCACTTTGGGACGTCTCCACATTCGCCTCTAGATGCGCTTGGGGTGCTGATGAGACTCGCAAGGTCGAAACCGGTCCGGAACGTTCCCGCTTCACGATGGGCGAAGGCGACGGCCTTGCCGCGACGAAGGTCACCGTTTGATGAATCATTTCCGTTTTCTAAAAAATATATTTTTTGTTTACGACCATCGGTTGAAACACCACGGGCGCAACGGAGCCACCCACGCACAATTGCGTTCACCGCGCAGCGCACCAACGACTCGGTTCAGGCTGAGTCCACCTCGGGGGAGGCCCAGGCACCGGTTCAGACGTCACTCGCCACCGATGTTAGCCGTGCGTTCGAATCCGAGCCCAGGTCGTCGGACTCACAGCGCCGTGTTTGAACGACGCATCGTGGCTCCACGCGGTCGCTTGTCCTAGACCCTGCGGCTAACGAACTAACGAGCGAGCGAGCCATCACGAGCCATCACGAGCCATCACGAGCCCTGCCGCTGACCATAACCCTCAACAACTATCAAACCACCGTCCAGTACCAGGTTGCCAACGATTGGCTGGTGAGCATCTGAGTGGTCAGTGTTACAACCCACACCTTCCACTCACCCCCAACCAGAACCAGCCGCTTCAGACATCACTCGCCACTGATGTTAGCCGAGGGCTTCGTAGCGCAGTGCGCCAAACACTGCGCCAAAGCCACCCCCGCACCACAACACGCAGCGCAAAAACAACAGCAACAACAACACTCCGCCGATGTAAATGAACGAGTAGGGTCCTCACCACGCCTTGACGAGAATTCGCAGCTCGCCGGGGCCCGGGCAGGCGGCGCTCTGCCGCGAGACCCCCAGCTTCGAGGGGCCCCCGAAGCCCGACAGAACCACGGCCCTCACGAGGGGGCCCTCTCCCTCCAGCGCGGGGCCTCCTCGTTCCGCCACGGGCTCGCTCCCCACCTCCTCCTCATCGCCCCCCATCATCCGCGCCGTCTCCTCTGCAGGCGGAGTTTCTCCTGACATCGCTCGGCGGTTCTGATGAAATGGGTCTGTGTGGTGTGTGTGTGTAGTGTGTGTGTGGGTGCTTATGCAATAGGTCTCGTCTACCGTGCGTGTGGGTGACTGTCTGTCTGTGTGTGTGGATTGGTGTTGTCCGTGTGTGTGTCCGTATGCGCGTTCTTATCAGTGTATGTCTGCGTGTGTATGTACAAGTGTGTGAATATCTGTGCGTGTGAGTATGTCTTGCACGTATGTATTTGTGTCTGTCTCTGTATGTATCTCTGTGTATATGTGTGTATGTATGTATCTTTTTCTGTCTCTGTATGTATATAATCTGTCTATGTGTGTGTCTATATGTGTATGTCTCTGTATGTGTATCTGTGTGTCTCTGTATGTGTCTCTGTGTGTCTATGTGTGTGTCTCTGTGTCTCTGTGTCTGGCTCTGTATGTATATTTGTGTTTGTCTCTGTATGTGTCTCCGTGTGTCTATGTGTGTGTCTCTGTGTGTTTATGTGTGTGGTCTCTGTGTGTCTATGTGTGTGTCTCTGTGTCTCTATGTGTGTGTCTCTGTGTCTTTGTGTGTCTATGTGTGTGTCTCTGTGTGTGTTTCTGTGTCTATGTGTGTGTATGTGTCTATGTGTGTGTATGTGTCTCTGTGTCTCTCTGTACGACGCTGATGTCGGGATGGCCGCCTCCTCCTCCGTGTGCGCCACTCCCTCGCCTCTCTCCGTGATGCGGAATAAATTAATTATTAAACTACGCACTCGCGTCGTCCAATCTGCTCGCCGCGTCGTTCGCGCGTGCGATTTCCTCCTTCTACCAATGACTCTCTGTGTTTCTCTCCGGGCCTCTCTCTCTGTGTCACTGTCTGTCTCTCTCTGTATCTCTCTGTCTCTCTCTGTCTCTCTCTGTCTGTATGTCTCTCTGTCTCTCCGTGTCTCTCTCTCTCTCTCTCTGGATGACACGCAAATTCGTGAAGCGTTCTCTCTCTGCGTCTCTCTCGGTCGCCTGAGTGTCCAGGCGAGTGAGAGATCGCGGGGGCCGTGAGCCGCACGGCGTGGGAGTGTTTATTTATTTAGTTGCTCCTCGTCTCGGGAATGAGCTCACAGGTTCGAGATGACGCCAAACGCACGGCGCAGACTCCGAGACACACAGCGCCGCCTACCCCACACGCCGGCATAGCAGCACCACCACCACCACCACTACGAGCAGCAGCAGCAGCAGCAGCACCACCAGCAGCACCACCACCACTACTAGCACCACCACCAGCACCACCAGCACAAGCACCACCACCACTACTAGCACCACCACCACGACTAGCACCACCACCACTAGCACCACCACCACCAGCACTACCACCACTAGCACCAGCACCACCAGCAGCACCACCTCTATCTCCACCACCACCACCATCAGCATCACCACCACTAGCACCACCACTAGCAGCAGTACCACCACTGCCAACACCAACAACAACAATCGCCATTCACCACTACGTGATGGTGACGTCACTACGGTGCTTGTGCCATGCTAGGTGCACTTTGAGGCCACGTGAAGTGTCGAGGCCCGCTGACAGGAGGTCATGGAACAGACCCAGGTGCCATGGGTTCAGTGACTGAGAAGATTGTCAGATGCACTAACTGTGCTACCCACTGTGCGAGCTTTCTGTATTTTATCCGCCCGGCGCTTCGCTCGTTGTTGTGAGAGTCTCTCCACCGCCATCCGTTGTTGCTGGAGTGCGACTGCCTCCAACTGCCCCTGGTAGAGTCCTTCACGAGCCTCCTCCTGCTCCACAGAGGCCGATCTTGACACCGCCGATGGATCCACCGGTCATCGGCAAGTCCACTCAGCTCTACCACGTCCTCCTGTACCAGCCACGGCGACCCCCCGCCATCTCTCCTCCACCCCGCGCCGTTTCCACCACTACCAACATCCCACAGCGGTTATTCCCAACCTCCGTTGGCTACTGCTGTACCCCCTTGTTAAAGTTTGTTCCCACCGAGTGCTCCCTTTGCTCTGACCCAACATGGTTCTGAGAAATAACTGTACGAATAATGAACGCCAATATATCGGAACCAATTGTCCACATTTGCGAGGTATCCTAACGAGCTTGCTAGTAGCTGCAAGCGAACGCAACAACAGAAATATCCAAGGGACGCTCTGCACGCGTGACGCAATTCGTTGGCGCTCGCTGAGTTACTCTTAGAAACCCGCAACGTTTACGATCAGCGAGTTTATAAAGGTCTTTAATGTCGTTCTGGATTCCCACATGGGCTTTTTATTATTATTATTATATCGTAATTATTTTATATTGCTAGATGCCCGCGTGATTACTCACCAATGACTCACACGTATGATATAATTCCACATATTCCACATGTTTATAAATCATCTCGTGTACCCCCCTGGGACCCCTAGGGGTGTGTGTGTGATCCCCGGTTGAGGACCACATCCCATAGCACACAGCATAGGGCAAAGGAGACGCCGGATCCGATTTCGGGAGTAAGTGACAGTTTTAATGAGGGTTCAGTTTTACATCAACAACAACAGAAATCTGGGAGTGAAACACAAACTTGGAACACAGATAGTCAAAAAGCACGCGTGGCTTTGGCTGACCGCTCGGTTATAAGGCTCGAGTCTTCACCGACAACGCGCGTTGCGTCTGATCAATAGGGTCACGTCATCCGTGTGCGTGCATGTGCATATCTGTGCACGTTCGTCTCGCGCGCGCGTGTGTACGTGTGTGTGTGTGTGTCTGTGTGTGTGTGGGTGGCCTGCCTACGATCCATCCTGGGTTTAACCAGGCTGGATTGTGTGAGGAGCTCACAAATCCTTGAAAGATCTGGGCAAAGTCCCATCAGTGAGCTCCTCCGGCAGGCAAGGCTGCGTTGGCTGGGTCATGTAGCCCGCATGCCCAGCCACCGCATGCCTAAACAGCTTTTGTTCGGCCGGATCGAGGGGGCTAGACGGGCGCGGCACGGGCTGGAGAAGAGATGGAGTGATGTGGTACAGGAGGACGTGGAGCTGAGTGGACTTGCCGATGACTGGTACCAGCGGTGTCAAGATCGGCCTCAGTGGAGGAGGCTCGTGAAGGACGCTACTGGGCAGTTGGAGGCAGTCGCCCTCCAACAACAACGGAGGGCGGAGGAGCGACGCTCACAACAACGAGCGGAGCGCCGGGTGGCTAAAGCACAGCAAGTTGGCACAGTAGGGGGCACAGGTGGTGCATCAGCCAGTCATCTCGGTCATCTCGGTCAGTCGACCAGTGGCACCTGGGTCTGCCCCGTGACCTCCTGCCAGCGGGCTTTCGACACTTCACGTGGCCTCAAGGTGCACTTGGCCTGGCACAAGCATCGTGGTGACGTCACCGCCACTTAGTGGCGAATGGCGGTTGTTGTTGTTGTTGTGGGTGGGGAGCGGTGGTGTAGCGGTTAGCGCGCTGCGCTATGGAACCTGGCGACCCAGGTTCCATTCCCGCTCACGGCCAACACCGGTGACGATGATCTGAACCGGTCCTGGGCCTCCTCTTAGGTCGACTCAGCCTCAAATGAGTACCTGGAGCGATGTGTAAAAACATCGCTACTAGGGAGGCAAAAGAGGCCGGGCGTGGTGTTGGCCACCCACCCCCTTGTGTGCCGTGAAGGCCTTTAAAGGTGCTCGCTAACAGCACTTGCCCCGACAGTCTGTTAATGCTATACGGGGGATCTTTGTCCTTGTGCGCGCGTGTGCATCGGTGCTCGCGAAAGGCACTTACCCCAACAGTCCGTCAAAGGCTACAAGGGGGATCTTTGTCTTTGCGTATGCGCGCGCGTAATCACACCCCTCGTGTCTCGCCCTAAGTGCCGTAATCTCATTGAATGCCACATCGCGAAGAGACATCATCTGCTCATTGTACACAAACGTTACGGATTAGGGTTTATACGACTTTGGCGGGAGGAGGGGGGGAGGGGCATATATCCTGCCCCCCCCCAAGTAAAAACTACATTTCCCGCGTGTGCGGATTGCAGCGACGCTCACCAGCGCTCGGCATGGAACGCGCGTGCCACGTTAAAGGGCGGCCTGGTTAGAGGAACACAAAACTGTCGCCTTTCAGGAATGCGTTCGAGCGCTCACTACCGCCTGCCGCAGGCTGTCGCGTCTGCGCTGCTGTTGCTGCTCTTGTAGCAACAGCTGCTTCTCGCCGGCGCGTTGTGTCGCTGTGCCACGGCGTTGATGGCCGACGTTTCGCGAACTCCGCTCAGCAGCAGCAGCAGCAACGGTGGCTATTTGGAACGAAGACGGCGGTCATCGCGCGGCGCTTTCAGATGCGCTGCTTCTGCGACCGTCTGGAACGCTCTTCCTCCCGATATTGGGAAAGTCAACTAGAACTGATTAGTTTGTGTTTAGTTTGTTGTCCTTCCCCCGCACCTCCGAATAGCACGATTGGCTACGTACGGTGCGAAAGAAGTTCAGCATACAGATGTGTATAGGCATGGACTGCTTTCGACATTAAGTGACGAAATGTGCACCTACGGACTATCTGCCCATGGATCGCGATGATGATTGATGATGTTAAACATACACACATCCATCGATTCATGCACGCTTCGAATTGAAATCGCAGAAGCCAACCACTCACTCAACAGCAACAGCGACACCATTATCACCATCAGCTGGATTCCTGTTGTCACGTTTGGGTTGGAGCACTCAGTTCCGACCTCACTGCTGCACCGGGTAGGGTTCGGAGTGGAGCGGCAGTCGGGATGAATGATGATCGAGCACTGATCGATTCAATCCACCCGCTCGCTCGCTCGCTCACTCACCCAACCCAGCCACTCACTCATTCACTCACCCAGCCACCCACTCACCAATTCGACCGATAGAATTTAACAAAAAAATATACTTCACGTTTAGCCTAACGTCATTTCTGTGTAACAGCACCAATGTCGAACCACGGACATTCAGATCAACCCCCCCCCTCACGAATGGTATGGTCACGATGAACAGATTCATATGTACTGCGATGGGTATTGCTGATGCTACGAGATAAACACAACTCTCCCATTATTGCCGTGATAAATGCTTTCCATCGGCGATTGTAAGCGCAATGATAATAACAATTACTATATAGACTTATTCACCCAGGATTATCTGACGGGACGATCGTGACTCTACAGCCCCTTGCTCAAGCCGCTGCTGGATTGGATGAAGGCCTCCCCCGCACGCCGTGTCGGTATTGCGAGTTGTTTGGACCATACTTCACCACGCTGGTCAGTGCGGACTGAACAAACGGAGGCTTGGTTTGCTCAGTCGGGAAGACGTCCTATCGCCACTGATGTTAGCCGTGGCCGGGAATGGAAGGGGAATTAAACTCAGGTGACCTGGGTTTATTGGGCCGCGGTGCGCGCATCAATTCACCACTGTGTCTTCACCACCACCACCATCAATGGATTAACAAACACGCGCTGATCGCCAACCAGCACTGTAAAAGCACGACTTCTGTCTATGCACGAGAGAGGCGCAGCACCACAGACCGGGAATGCGCGCAGACAGATGTCTCCAGGCACTTAACACCGAAGCGTAAATTACAAAAATCAGTCTACACGTAATGAATACACTTTAAAAAGAACGCGTCTTAGACTACCGATAACATCGTTGAACCATAATCACAGGCCATGATCAATCCACAGCTGGATGATTATCTCCTCCCCGCACCGTGGTCGGTCGTGGGTGGGGGGGCGGTGGGTTTGGCCATACTTCACCACGCTGGTCAGTGCGAGTTGGTGAAGCGTGGTCAGGGCAGGCAGATGGGGAGGGGGGGGGGTCCAAGGCCCGGTTCTAATATCAGGCGCCACAGCGAAGATTGCGCACTAACCACTGCGCCCACCGCTCCCAACCAACCCGGGACACGTACGCGCCGACGTATATACATACACGCACCGTCATATATGCTGACATGACGTGTAATGCAAAGCAGTGCAAATTACATGGGAGATATATATGTATATAATATATACTGTGTAAAAAACAAGCGATTTGAGCAAGCAAATAAGAATACAA